GGGGGGGCAATCACTTTTTCACACAAGGCCATGTAGGTTTGGATTTTTTTCCAAAGATATAGATATATATATATATGATATAGCGTCCCCTGATGGTCACTAGAGAGAATTCAGCTGTAACACATGATGCTTTGACTAACATTTAAATCCCTCTTATTGACCTTTTTAATGTGTAAACAAGAACTCACTGATAAACTTTTGGTGTTTAGTTTCGTTCTTCCTAACCTGAAGGTCTCTGTTCCCCCTTTTGGTTCCTTCAGGTCGGCATGAGTCACAGTTCCTCAGCAGGAATCCTTCTCTCCTCGGAGAACAGCCGCTCCGTCTCGGCTCCCATCACCGCCGACCGCCGGCTGGCCTGGCGAGCCGTCGTCTCTTCGTCGTCGACCCCCGTGGGCGTCGCCCTGCCGCGCCCCGAGCGCTCCATCAGCCCCGAGAGCAACGACAGCATCTCAGAAGAACTCAACCACTTCAAGCCCATCGTCTGCTCGCCGTGCACGCCGCCCAAACGCCTGCCGGACGGACGCCTGCTGGAGCCCACCATCGTGAAGTCCACGCCCAGGAACCTGACCCGCGGCCTGCAGAGGGCCACCAGCTACGAGGCCAGTCCCGCCGTCCTGCTGAAGTGGAGGCAGATCGAACTGGACCGCCAGAGTCTCAAGGTGAACTCCAAGGCGACGCTGACGAGCCCCGTCAACGAACTCCACAACAAGACCGGCACGGGGGGGGAGGACGCCAAGACCCGGCGGTCCCCGCTGGGACGAGGCGGAGTGAGGGCCGCCAACAAGAGGAGGCTGCTGTTCGAACCTCCAGCCGGAGACACAGACTCCTTCCAGAAACAGTCCGTGAAGATCCGGGTCCCTGCGATCCGCTACAGCAGCGAGACCACTTTCAGAGGAAGTTCAGACTTTGAGCCGGCGGTCGGCGTGCCTGAATCCGGCAGTGGCGGAGCGCTTTTTAGCCGAAAACAGTCGTTCTCACCGTACACTAAGAACTCCGGTTTCCAGTCCTGTAAATTAGTGCCAAAGGACTCGCAGAGTCCGAGGAAGGAGTCCGACAGTAGCCTCCACAACCAGTCTACCTCAAGGAGGGGCAAGAAGCGGGAACAGAAGACCAAACACTTGGACTCGGAGCAGGACTTGGACCTGAAGAGGAGCCGGTCGGCCAGCCAGGAGGCCTTCGACGAGCGGTACGTCTGTCAGATCCAGCAGGAGCGACAGGACCGGGCCATCGCCTTGAAGCTGCAGAGACAGTTCGACCGGGAGAACCAGACCACCAACCGCCGGAGGAGCCCCGACAAGTACTTCCTGCGGTCCTGGATGTCCAACCAGAACCACCGCAGGTGGCGTGGCCTGAGGAGGTCTCGACGAATTAACAAGAAGCACTAGAGAGCGAGTCGTCCGCTGACTCGGCACAAAGGAGGACAGGAAGAGGTTCATATATGCAAAGTGACGAAAAGGTTTGAATGTTTTTACACGACGGCAAACTTTAAAACGCTGTCGAGGAAAAAGAACAGAAAGTGAACGTTTATTTGATCTTTTCACCAGCAAATCACCAAAAACTGAACCAGCTGCAGTCCGACATGTGAACTCTCATCTCTGGAGGACCAATGGACTAAACACACAAAAATCTAAAAAGAGAGCTGTTGCTGTATAAACTGGAGGTCTGGGGTCTTCAGGGGTTTCTGTAGGTCCGGGGCTTCAGGGGATCCTTGAGGTCTGGGTCTTCAGAGGTTCCCGGAGGTCTGGGTCTTCAGGGGTTTCCGTAGGTCCGGGGATCCTGGAGGTCTGTGGTCTTCAGGGGTTCCTGGAGGTCTGTGTCTTTAGGGGCCCAGTATCTCCTCCCACTATGTTACTGGTCCGCCTCTTTGCTGAAGGTCTTCCAGTCTGAACGTTTGTCAGACGTTCTTTCAGCGCTTTGAAGCTGTGGATCCTGGACTCTGCTCCGTGGCTGCTGAGGCTCATGGGTACTGTAGTCTCAGAGACGTCTGGACCAGGAGAGAAGAGTCGTGTGATTGGACGAGTTGTGTTTGTTTGTGGTGAAAATGTAAACAAAAGCTTTAAGGAAGAGTTGATGTTTAATGTCTGAAGCAGTTTAGATTTAACCCGAAACTTTAATAAAATAAAGATGAATGAATTAAATATTGTTGAATGTTTTACAGTAAGTGACATTCCTCGCACTTTGAGTTAAGTAACACATTTTTAATATATTTTTTATTTTATTAAAATATGGTACTTTCTGTGTTTTTATGTCCTTTTATTTATTGTTTTTGTATTTTTTAACGTTTGTGTGCGAGAAAAAAAAAGAAAAGAGAGCGCGCGCACTCTGCTTTGTCTGTGTCCGTCTCGGGTACGCGCACGCGGTAACGTGCGTTAATACGTGGCGGTTCCTTCAGATGTCGCTGAGAGCCAATCAGATGCCTCCAGGTCACAGGCGTCGTGTTCGTAGCAGAAGACAAGATGGCGGCCGCGAGGAACGGAAAGAACGGACTCCTGGAGAAAGTGAGCGATAACAGTTTGATTTGTTTGAGTGAGATGTGAAGAGAAGCTCCGGAGCTCATTGTTCACACGGTGACAGCGGGAGGTCAGCTCTCTGTGAGCCGGATAGCTCCGGGCCGCTGTTAGCCAGCTAAGCTAACAGGCTAAATTACATATATTGTGTGTGTGTGTGTGTGTGTGTGTGTGTGTGTGTGTGTGTGTGTGTGAGAGAGAGAGAGAGATATTAAGAAATTAATAAGATCCAAAGATTATAAATCATCACGTTTTAACTTAGTTTAAAAAGTTCATTTAAAATTTGAATACGTTTTATTTAACACAGTCATATTTATAGTTTAAGAGTTAATTTATCATCAATATATTATAATAAATCCTAATAATACTGATAACAATGAATCTGTTTCAGTGGAGGATCGATGAGAAACCAGTGAAAATAGATAAATGGGACGGAGCCGCTGTGAAGAACTCGCTGGATGACGCTGCGAAGAAGGTCGGCTTTTATTGTGAAAGGTCGTCTGTTATTGTGAAAGGTCGTCTGTTATCATTATGAGTCACAATTGTTCATCAATAACCAGTCGGCCCCCTTCAGGTGCTGCTGGAGAAGTACGGTTACGTGGAGACCTTCGGGCTGGTGGACGGTCGTCTGGTGATCTGCACCGTCTCCTGTCTGTTCGCCATGCTGGCTCTGGTCTGGGACTTCCTGCACCCGTTCCCAGAGTCCAGGCCGGTCCTGGCCTGCTGTGTCATCTCATATCCTTCTGAGGCACCGAGACCACCTGATCTCAGGTCCCTGTTCTAGTCTCGGGTCCCTGGTCCTGTATGAGAGTGATGAGGTGGTCTGTGTGGTGGGATCTAAAGGAGCGTGTTTGAGATATCAGCAAACATGACAAACTAAATTGACATTAACAGAATTATTAATGTCAGTAAGATTATTAATAACACCAGCCTGAGATCAGGGAGCAACAACCAAACTATGAGCTACGTCTCATAATTAGTGGACAGATGAGAAACTACTTCAAGGTGTGGCAGATAAACATGACGAAACAAAATACGATCGGCATGAAAACAAATATAAAATGCATAAAAACTACAACTCACAATAACGCTGAATCAGTGGAGCCCTGAGCTTGTTTCTCTGCAACGAAACGGTCCCATCATGGGAGACAATGACACCCGAAGTCTGTTCCTGATGTCCAGTCTACTCCGTTTAGTTTTGATTACCGTCACTGCAGAACATCCCGCTTCACATAGAGGATGTGTTAATGGAAGCAGAGTTTTCAGTGCTTTAGTGGTGATCTCAGGATATTCAGCCTCAATGTTAATCAAACACCAGCAGAGTTGTTGTCTCCAACATACTTTTAAGGCCACCGTCATTTACAATCTCCAGCAGCTGATCTTCTCTGTCGCCACGTATTCTGCAGAGCGGGTTTGGCGTGTCAGAATTACTCCTGATATTTAATCAGACTCCTGATATTGTCTGTTAAATGAAGCTTTCATTTTTTTGGAAGGTGTAGTTCTCCTTAGTGGACTTTACCTCTTTGCAAATAAGCTCTCCAAAAGTTATTTACCCATTTTCGTTAGTTTGTGGGCTTAATGTTTGAGGTAACGTATCACGTGACCGAGACGAGCGTCTTGACATGTCAAGAGCCACAGGCGGATGAAATTGGGAGAGAATCCGGTTATTTTTCAAAATAAAACTTCTTTCAGACTGATAATCAATAAAACGGAAATAATATAATATTTATTCCTCCTGCCCGGTACCAAATGACCCGGTGGTTGGAGACCACTGCTGTAGACCACGATGATGAAGACTTCACATCTCACGGAGCTTTGATGTGAATCTTTGTGAATGTTTTGACTGCTGCAGGACCAAGGTTCTCTGTTCAGGACCAAGGTTCTCTGTTCAGGACCAAGGTTCTCTGTTCAGGACCAAGGCTCTCTGTTCAGGACCCAGGTTCTCTGTTCAGGACCCAGGCTCTCTGTTCAGGACCCAGGCTCTCTGTTCAGGACCAAGGCTCTCTGTTCAGGACCCAGGTTCTCTGTTCAGGACCCAGGTTCTCTGTTCAGGACCCAGGCTCTCTGTTCAGGACCCAGGCTCTCTGTTCAGGACCCAGGCTCTCTGTTCAGGACCCAGGCCCTCTGTTCAGGACCCAGGTTCTCTGTTCAGGACCAACACTCTCTGTTCAGGACCCAGGTTCTCTCCCAACTGTGTTCTAGTAAATCCTGAATCACGTGAAGATGAGTTTGTGTTGATGAGTATGAATGTTACTCTAACCCGGCGTCCTACAGAGGACGGGTGATGATGTCATGGTGTCTGTTCCCTAACTGCCCCCCCCTCCATCACGTACTTCATCATGATGGGGATCCTGACCCTCTACACCTCCTACAAGGAGAAGAACATCTTCCTGGTGTCTCTGCAAAAGGATCCAGCTGGAATGGATCCGGATCACATGTGGCAGCTCTCCTCCTCCCTCAAACGGTCTGAATCCTTTACCCATCATGCACTCTGATGATGGAGTCCTCACACACACACACACACACACACACGTGTACTTTGTGTCTCAGATTTCTATAGTTGTAGATGTACTAACGTGTACTCTGTGTCTCAGGTTTGATGACCAGTACTCTCTCAGAGTTTCCTTTTCTGATGGAAAGTCCAGGAACTTCCGTGAAGCCGAGTTCACGAAGTCTGTGTCAGCGTTCTTCGATGAGAACGGGACTTTGTCCATGGACCAGTTTGAGAAGAGCGTTTCTAAACTTCACGACACGCTGGCCTCCGACAAGAAGACCAAATAACCACTGGATCAATACGGCAGTACGTCAGTACATCATCAATACGGCGATACATTGATACATTAGTACATTGATACATTAGTACATAGGTACATTAGTACATGGGTACATAGGTACATTGATACATTAGTACATAGGTACATTAGTACATAGGTACATTGATACATTAGTACATTGATACATTAGTACATTGATACATTAGTACATAGGTACATTAGTACATAGGTACATTAGTACATTGATACATTAGTACATAGGTACATTGATACATTAGTACATTGATACATTAGTACATAGGTACATAGGTACATTGACGCATTAGTACATAGGTACATAGGTACATTGATGCATTAGTACATAGGTACATTGATGCATTAGTACATAGGTACATTGATGCATTAGTACATAGGTACATTGATGCATTAGTACATAGGTACATTGATGCATTAGTACATAGGTACATTGATGCATTAGTACATTGATACATTAGTACATTGATACATTAGTACATTGATACATTAGTACATAGGTACATTGATACATTAGTACATAGGTACATTGGTGCATTAGTACATAGGTACATTGGTGCATTAGTACATTGGTACATAGATACATTGGTACATAGGTACATAGGTACATTGGTACATTGGTACATTGATGCATTAGTACATAGGTACATTATGTACCAATGTACCAATGCACCAATGCACCAGATACATTGGTACATAGGTACATTGGTACATTGGTACATAGGTACATTGGTACATTGGTACATAGGTACATTGGTACATAGGTACATTGGTACATTGGTACATAGGTACATTGGTACATTATAGGGGTGGGAATCACCAGAGGTTCCGCGATACAATATTATCACGATACTGCGATATTATCACGATACTGCGATATTCTGATTATTGCGATAACATAGGCCTATATTGCGATTTATTACTTTTTCAACTTCAAATTATGTCCCCAAAGGAAAACTGTGTCAACATGTTTTATCTCATAAGATAAAGTTTTCAGTCTGTTCATCTCACTTCAACCATTTTTATTGCAGCAAAATATGATTGTCAAGCAGACAGACTGACCAACAATGTCATAAATGTTGCATGAACCTGACAAACTGAACTGTTTGTATTACCACATAGTCTTAACTAAATGCAAACGTGTGGACTCAGTATATGAACTACAACTTATATAAGTAGGATATTAGCGTTATATAACTCAGTATAACTTGCGATGCGTGGACGTCAAGGGCAGAGAGACAGTTATGCGCTGCACTCTCCTCATGAGCCTGGCTACTGTTGGCAGATTTAATCCCGTTGTGAGGCCAGATGTCTCTATCTTTGTTTTCACCAACTTCCTACCAATCACGCTGACCCGGGACCTCTGCTGACCTCACCAGAAAATAACTCAGCACCATCTAGTGGACTGAAAAAGCAATTGATTTGATTTTTCTAAAAAAAAATAATAATAATAATAAAAAAATTATATAATAAAAGATCGATACTTGGCGTCCGTGTATCGATACAATATCGCCGCGCAAAAAAATATCGCGATACTATGCTGTATCGATTGTTTTTCCCCACCCCTAGTACATTAGTACATTGGTACGTTGATACATTGGTACGTTGATACATTGCTACATTAGTGCATTGCTACATTGGTACATAGGTACATTGGTACATAGGTACATTGGTACGTACATTAAGTAGTTTTTGTTTTCAAATGAACTCTTTGAATCTCAGTTAAAGTTTGTTTTTATTTGTTCTCACGACGTCATCGTTTCCTGTTAAAGGGGCTCCTGGTGGTGCGTTCAAGGACGCTGAGCAATTTGAGTCAATCTCAGCTGCAACGCTCAAACTTTAACAACTAATACCTTCTCTGTTTCTCTCAGAATCACAACAACCCTTCAGACCGGATGTTTTCCACCAATCACAACGTGACATCAGTGGTGGGCGGAGCCTCTAATGGAGCAGACTCACCTTTGAGGTCACATGGGTGGAAACGAGCAGCCTGATTGGTCACAGTGGCTTCCTGTGGCAACATCAGATTAGCATCATTAGCATCATCATGAGTGAAACAACCATGCTAACATGTTGCTGCCTTACAACAGGAAGTGAGAACTTTACTTTGAATGTTTTTCTTTTAATTTCTCTGTAACGTCTGTGAGTTTGTGAATTATTAAAGATGGAGGTTGTTACAGAAACACCTTTCACTGTTTATTCTGCAGAACCTCAGTTCATCCAGCAGGTGGAGCCGCTGCTCCTCTGATCTCTGATAATCACTTCAGTACTTCTATGGGTCACATATACATCTCTGTATTATGTTCTCCATAATAATAAGAATATTCAACATTTCAAATCACACAAGTATAATGACTTTATTTAATCTATAATATTACATCATCAGTTATGATCATCATCATTTATAAGAAACTAAAGCTTTCAGATAAATGAGACGTAGCAGAAAATAGAAATACTCAAGTAAAAGTACCTCAAAATTAAATACTATTTTAACGTAATATATATATTTAAATATATATGTTTATATGTATTCATATTTAAATGTGTCTGTTTTGAGGGTCCAGACAGAAGTTGTGTGACATCAGATTAAATGAATGTTGAAACCAATTGTTACTGATTATTATTGATCAGAGTCAGTGCAGGGGGCGGGGTTAGCGTGTGTGGGTGGGGCCAGCAGGCAGGACTTGTGTGTGTCGGTCAGCAGTGATCAGACGATTGTGAGAGAAGCAGAGTCTCACAGTGTGCTGTCTCTCAGTCATGGCCTGTCTCATGGCAGCCTGGTCCGTCCACAACCCCACCATTACCAACTCCATCATCATGGTGAGTACAACTCATACTGGACTGGACAGCTATACTGGGGACCTACTGGACTCATACTGGGAACATTCTGGAGCTATAGTGAGAACATAGTGGACACATTCTGTAGCTATAGTGAGAA